TCCACTATGGGCGGATCCTCGCGATGACCATCTCCCTGGCCACGAGCTGCGATTTGGGACCTTTCTGCCAGGTCCTCCTGCCGCACATGCGGTTGCATGCAGGGCCGGTCTTCCTCGCTGTCTTCGTCCGTCTCTGGCGCCTCATGCTCAGTGTCTGCGCCTGCTGTGGGTGCAGCAAGCTGGTCTTTGCGCTGCGAGCTGACCTGAGTGCACCACAGACAGTGTTGCAAAATTTCCGGTGCATGAACCAGAAGCTGCCACCCAATGGAGGCTGTACGCTCGAGATACAGGCGCCTGAAAGGACCTCAAAAGTAAAGACAACCTCAAAACCCCAAACAAGCGAAGTTTGCCTCATCCTTTCATGAGACTTGTTTGATTCACTGGCAAGCCATTTAACCTGGAGCTTTTGCAAGGCTGTCTTTACTGGGATTATCATTACTATTCTTACTATTACCTTTCTTCACTGACTGTCACAAGCAGTGCCTGGGCGGAGTCCAGATTTTCTGACTCGTCCCTGACGTCGGGCCCAGAGCCCGAGCTAGGACGCAGGCGTGGCACCTCGCAGCTCAGCTTGTGACAGTCTGTAAAGGCAGTAGACTGTTGTATAGCAGAAAAATATCAGCAATAGTTACAATGATAATAGTACACCGAGCAAGAACCACGCAAGTACAATGTGCATGGTTATAATAATACTTCTTTCATTTTTCCGCCCGTCATGTTCGGTAACCAATCTCCCGAGCTCTGAGTAACAGGAGCTGCCCGAACACTTTGTCATGTCGCTTCCCTAGATACGGGGACCCCAATGACTAACCCTAAGGCTCCTTGTCATCCTTATTATAGGGACCCCCAAAAAAGGTACCCAAATTCTAGGAAAACCCCAGCCTCTTTCCTAAGCCTACATCCTGGAGTCCTGAAGTTCGTCGTTAAATCCCTCCAGTCCTAAACTGGGTTGCTGTTCAGGAATTTAAATCAAGCTACCATAGCATGGGTATATCGTAATTAATAGGGTTTCCTCATCAACTTAAGTTCCTTTACAGCAACCCAGTAAACGCTTTCGGCACGGCCCTGTCCTATATACCTAGGGCGGCGAACCTGTTTAGGGTTTAGGGTATGCAAGGAGCACAAATGAGCTTTGGTTTTTATTCTTATATTCTTCCACTACAGAAACTGACCGTTCCGCAAAGCCCTTCCGCGAGTAGCGCTTGTAGT